AAGGGATCTGGTGGGAAAAGGCCAGGATTACATTGAAGCCAAGCGCTCGGTGATCAAGGCCAACTTCACCAAGGTGCTTGGACGACAGGAGGACAATCCCCCTAAGTCTAAAGAGGAGGCGGAGCAAAAGCTGGAAATGGCTACGCAAAAGCCTACAAAGAAGCGACAAAGGTCGGACCACAGTACGCCGCCAGCGGAAGCCAAAAAGAGGCCGAGGAAGTCAGAAATGACTTTTACACAAGCCCTTTGCTCGGCAAAGGTGGCTGTAGTATGTGATGGCTTCCCCGGAGTCAAGATGGAACCCACAAAGCTTAAGGCAGTGCAAACATCCATCTTAGAGGCTCTGGAGAGAACGCCAGAAGAAGGGCCGCAAATCAGGCTGCTAAAGAGCACGTTCAAGCCCGGTTACCTGGTAATGACGTGCGCGGATAGTGCAAGCGCACAATGGCTCAGGGACACTACTCCCACTCTGAAGCCTTGGGAAGGTGCAAGCCTCCAGGCTAAGGACGAGAGTGAAGTCGAGAGGCCGTGTTCTTGCACTGTCTACATCCCAGACGAAGACGGAAAGAGGTTGGAGGCGGAAAGTGTGCTGACTCGATTAAGGGTCAGCAACCGAAAGCTCAACACCCTTTTATGGACCGTTTTGGGCAAAACACCTGCAGAAAAAGGGCAGGTATGGGTCTTCTCAATGGACAAAGAGTCCTTTGAGGAACTCAAAAAACTTCAAATGTGTCCTTACTTTGGCATCGGAAGAATTAAATTTCGTGTCAAGGATGATGGGCACATTAAGAAGGTTGCAGAGGCCGGACCATCGGGGTTGCAAGGCGTAACTGCCGCAACCTCGGCAGTCAAGGCTAAGCAAAAAAGAAAAGAAGTCAAACCTTCAGAGGGGCAAAGCTCTAAAGCAGTGCCAAAGAAGGTTAACACTTCGACCAAACACAAGGCTCGCCCTAAGGATGATAAGTCGAGGGAAGGAGCTAAAGAAGGAATAATCCCGAAAGAAGTCCGTACCGACTTGCAGGGGAGTGCTACAAACCCGCCAAGAAGGCTAGAAGCCACTGAGCGGGTGGCCGCTCCCATGGAAGGGGTAGAGGACACGGGAAAACCCGAAAGTTAGCCTTCAGTTTAGAGGAAGGCAGAGTAAAGGTCCTGCAGGTCAACCTTCATCATGCTAAAGCTGCGTCGGCGGTTTTGTGCAGAAGGTTTGACATGGAAGGCCTGGACTTGGCCCTACTGCAGGAACCATGGCTCCACGGAGGGAAGGTTGCAGGCTTGAAGCCGCAACAAGGTAAGTTACTATACGATGCGAAAGGAGAGACACCTCGAGCATGCATTGTATATGGTAACGAAGTAAACTGTACACTGATTCCGGATCTTTGCTCCGGAGACTTTGCTACAGGTATTTTAACCGCTTCCACCGAGGAAGGTAGTAAAAGATGGTTGGTCTGTTCTGCCTACTTCGCTGGAGAGAAGGTCTTCCGCCCAGGCATAGTAGAGGACGTTATAACCTACAGCCGAAGGGAGAACCTTCATCTAATACTGGGATGTGATGCCAATGCCCACCATCTGGCATGGGGGAGTACGAACATCAACAGTCGAGGTGAGTCTTTACTACAGTTCATTTTAAGCATGGGTTTAGAAATAGCCAATATAGGAAATAAACCTACCTTCGTTACGGCCACGCGCAAAGAAGTCTTAGATGTAACACTTTGCAGTGAAAAAACGTACGATACTATAAAGAATTGGCATGTGTCAGAGGAACCTTCATGTTCCGACCATAGGCACATTCGATTCGATTTAATTACTTCGACTCGAATGGTGGCAAGGTTCAGGAACCCGAGAGAGACGGATTGGGAAGGCTATAGAGGCTCACTCGAGAAGTCTCTTGAGGGAGGAATCGGCACCATAAAAGATACGGAAGATCTCGAACTGACAGTCGAAACGGTGAGGGGAGCTGTTCTGGCCGCTTACCAGGAGAATTGTCCAGAGAGAGAAAAGAAAGGAAAGAAAAACACACCCTGGTGGAATGAACACTTACAAAAGCTTAGGGCAGATGTAAGAAGGCTATTCAATAAAGCCAAATTCAACCAGGACTGGGCCATTTATAGAGAAAAACTGACGCAATATAATATAGAGATCCGAAAAGCCAAAAGAGACTCGTGGCGAAAGTTCTGCGAGGAAGTCAAACAGGCTCCCGCATGTTCCAGAATCCACAAGGTCCTGGCTAAGGATGGTATTGCGAATCAGGTCGGCCTCTTGAAGAAAGAGGACGAAACGTATGTAGAAACCCTGGAGGAAAGCTTAATAATGCTCACCAAGGCACATTTTCCCAGCTCATCCATTGACAATAATCCTTCGGTAGAGGTGGCTCATCCCAGAAGGCCTACTAAGGCGGACTGGAAATTAGCTACCGACATCACGAGACCGGAAAAAGTCAGGTGGGGCCATCAATAAATTCCAGCCATACAAATTACCTGGAATGGACGGGATTTATCCAGTCTTGCTACAGAAGGGACAGGATGTGATCATCCCGCATCTAACAAAGATCTTCAAAGCTAGTTTGGCATGGAGATATATTCCAACCGCATGGCGAAGGGTGAAAGTCACATATATCCCCAAGGTTGGTAGGGTAATGGACCAGACCCCCAAGTCATACAGACCAATAAGTCTATCCTCTTTCCTAGCAAAAACGTTGGAAAGATTGATAGACAGGTATATTAGGGACGAAGTGCTGATGGAGAATCCACTTAGCGATCGCCAATATGCATACCAGCCAGGAAAGTCAACTGACTTGGCGCTGGATGATCTTAACAGACTGCTCTCAAAGTCGCTAGATGACAAGGAGATAGCGGTGGCGACGTTTCTGGACGTGGAGGGAGCGTTTAATAACGTCTCCTTCGAGTCTGTAACGAACGCGCTTAAAAGGAGAGGAGTTCCTGCCTTCATATGCGAGTGGACAAAGGCGACCTTAACAAACAGGATCATTGTGTCCTCGTTAGGTGAAGCCACTATTGAAGCGAAGGCAGGAAGCGGCTGCCCACAAGGAGGAGTTTTATCCCCATTACTGTGGGCTACGCTTATGGACGACCTACTTAATACACTGTCCAGGGAGGGTTTTTACTGCCTGGGTTATGCGGACGATTTGGTAATTGTAGTCCGAGGACGCTTTACCAAAATAATTTCGGAGAGACTTCAAGTCGCTCTGAGGATGGTGGACAGCTGGTGTGAGGAAGAAGGCCTGAAGGTTAACCCTAAAAAAACATCTGTTGTTCCCTTCACCAGGAAAAGAGCACTGCAAGGCTTACAACCACTAGCGCTCAAGGGAGTAGAAATCCCATTCACAAGTCAGGCCAAGTACTTAGGTGTAATATTCGACCAGAGGCTGACATGGAATGCACACATTCAGAAAGTCACACAGAAGGCCACTATGGCCCTGAACACATGTAGACGAATGTGTGGTAAGAATTGGGGGTTAAATCCTAAAATGAACCTCTGGTTATACACAAGGGTTATAAGGCCCATGATAACTTATGGTTCAGTGGCGTGGTGGAACAAAACGCAACAGTCCGGGGCGATTCGATTGCTCAGTAGCACACAAAGGCTTGCATGCTTGAGTGTTACAGGAGCCATGAGAACAGCCCCAACGGACGCGCTAGAAGTTCTGCTAAACCTACCACCTCTACATATATACATACAGAGTGAAGCCAGATCAACAGTACATCGGTTGATCCAAGGCCAAGCTCCAATAAGTATGATGCAGGGAGCTGATAACTTAAGGCTATACCAGGACATAAAGGCAGACCCCGTTCTAGGAATGCCTGTAGACCGAATGGTTACGAGGTATAGTTTTAACAAAAATTTTCAAATTACAATACCAAAAAGAGAGGACTGGGAAAGTGGTCCGCCGCTAACAGCAAACTCAATATGGTATACGGACGGCTCCAAAACGGATACAGGTACGGGGGCTGGAATATATGGCATAAAACCAAGGACGGAAGTCCGGGTATGTCTAGGAACATACGCGACCGTATTTCAAGCCGAATTAGCTGCTATACACAGGTGCGCTATGGAACTAATCGGTCGAAATGTAGATAACGACTCCATCGTTATCTATTCGGATAGTCAAGCGGCTCTAAAGGAAGTCGAGTCTAGGAAGTCGAAACAGGTTGACACTTGCCTGGGTGCCGGGACATAAGGGCCATCGTGGCAACGAGAAGGCCGACGAATTGGCCCGAGAAGGCGCATCTACGCCACTGGTTGGTCCGGAACCCTTCTTTGGAATCGCAAATACGATAAAAAGGGCAGCCATACACAAATGGGTGCAACAGAAGTCTCTTGAGTGGTGGAACAACTCACCAGGACAGAGGCAGGCCAAACAGTTCATCAAAGAACATTCGGCTAAATTTACAGCAGACTTACTTTCGCACAGACGCAGGACTGTCAGAATGATAGTGGGTCTGCTCACTGGGCACTGTAGACTCAATAGACACTTGAGTCTCATAGGCCTGACAGAAGAGGACACCTGTCGTTTCTGTCTGGAAGAAGAGGAAACCGCTCTACACGTTCTGTGCCATTGCGAAGGTCTCGCACGAATGCGGTTTCTAGAACTCGGAGAGGAAAAACCGGAAGCACCAGGCTACATGAAAAGGCCACTATCAAGGCTGTTGAGTCCCATTAAGAGGACCAAGCTAGATGAAGTGCTTTAAAATAAGAGGGGAACACAATAGATCTGCAAAGGTCGCAGTGTATCAGGCTCTATTGGCCGCCCCATTTTCTACATTCTACATTCTACTAATTAACTTGTTGCAGTAAAATTTATGCTTGCTAAGGGGTTGAACATTGGGGACTAACAATATTCACTGAAAGTCTCCCCTTGAAAACAAAATTGTTCTTATTATATTATATATTATTAAATATAATAAAATACATATATTCAAATTGTCTACCTGTATAGTACACTATAAAATGGTTTTCATGATCAATTATTCAAATGTACTTACCTTGTTAGATAAACTCTCAATCTCCGACACCATCTCGTCATTTTTATCCTTTAACTGCGCATTCTCCATCTGCAACGTAGTCAATTTCGCCATCAACACTTTATTCTCTTCCTGGCCCATTTCGTTCAACTTAAGCTTCTCGTTTTCGAGGACATCTATCTGGCCACTAAGGAGACTTCTATCTCTTTCTAACTCGGCGATTTTTAACGACAAACCTTGGTTCTCCTTTTCTACATTCAAGGAATATTTCTGAGCTATCGAGAGATCGTTCTTAAGTTTACTGACTTCTTGTTCTAGAGTCGAGATTTTGTCCTCCAGGCTTTGATTGATGGTTGAGATATGATCCTTTTCTTTGGTAAACTGAGCTGTGATTTCTTTTAGAATATCAGAATGTCTTTGCTCTATCAATTTGACTTGATTTAAAGTGTTCTGTTCCATTCGGGAATGATTGTCATCGACTTCTTGGGCCAGAAGGGTTGCTCTGTTGTTGGCGTCGGTTACATGACATTTTAGCTTTTCACGTTCGGCGTGCATTTGCTCCAGGAGATTCTTGAAGGTTTTTATTTCGGACTGGTAAAGGGTTAAACTGGCCTAAAAATAAAAAAAATACATTAGTATTAATATTATTTTATTTTACTTTATTAATTTTATTTCACACCTTTGACTACCTTATTCCTTTTGTAATAAATTTTTAGAGTTAGTTCTGGTGAATGTTCCGATACATACATTTCAGTTTTGTTATTCATAGAAGTAAAATTCATATAAATTCATTCTCTAAGATAGTGCCTCATCAAAAATGAAATTCTTGATTATAAGTAGATATTTTCTTATTATAGCTTATTTTGCTGGATTTCCGTACTTAATAATAATAAATTAAACTTAATAATATTACATACAGTCAAATGAGATTTGACTTTGAACGACTTTGATTATGAATTTTATTATATTACTGACATATAATAACTCTCCTATATATGACATAAAAATAACCAAAGAGGTTTAAACATGTTTTATATGGTTTGGGTTTATTTTAGAAAAACATTAGGGTGTATTATAACTTTTGGGGGTTACTAATATATAATAAAATAAGTTTACGTAAAGTCCAATATCCCTACATTTGTAAAGCTATGACTAATTTATATTTAGACATCTTTAGGTTTTTATTAGGCTAGAAAGTTCAAATTATATTTCTGTGATCGAGAGAAAATTAAATTAAGCGGTTAACACGAGACATGATAAATATTTAAAGACCTCTACGGACGACGGAATTTTCTATCGAATTTTTTTTTAATTTCGTCAACTAAAACTCAATATTTACCTGCAGTAGAGCGATGTGAGGACTTTGAAAATCACTCCGGGTCGCTTCAGTAATCCCTTTGGTTTGCTTGTCCAGAACATCGGCCAAATCCAAAATGTTAACCATCCTGCAGTTAAAACCTAATTCGTGCAAGAGTTCCTTGGGGGAATGTATTCCAACGCTCTCCCACATCTCGATCAGATCATCCGTGTTGATCATTCCGTTTCCGTCTGGTCCCAATGTTACTAGATGGAACGTGCGGGAGTCTGGGAAGAGACATTCGCTGGACTGGTGTAAAAGAGAGCCATCTGAAACGGTAATTGTAAAAATAAATAAAAATTGATCAGTTTATTTTAACAATTTATAAGTTAAATTTAAGTACATATTGATAAACCGGGCTTCTGCTTTAGAACATTTATTGATACGATAAATAAAATTTTGAATACATCGGATTTTTATATATATAATCTCTTCTTTTAGTCATACATTTTTCGAAAGTTTTTTAAATATCTCATTAAATAATTAATGTGATTGCGTCTGTAAAGAATTGCATACGACATGCGCTACACTATCGTCGTCGTCAAAGTTATAACCTCTCAGTTCTTGTATGAGTGGACCAAACATGTGATAGTCACATATCCGCAGATCGAGTCTGTAGGGCAGATATTCGAGAGTTTTTCAATAAATTTTGTCCAATTGTTCTTGGGATAATGCAGCTGTGGATGGCCGTGTCCCGTCTTTTTCCTCAACAAGCCAATATCACTTCATCAAGAGTTGGAAGTAGTACGCAGAATTAACTACAACGTTCATGAAAAAGAAAAGCAATATGCCTCTGCCCAAAAAAAAAACTTTCCCGGGAAAGAGACGGATCTTGGCTTTTCTCGGAAAGATATTATATTAATTTAGCTTGACATATAAAAAGGACGTGCTTGGAAAATGCCGACAGAAGTGAATACTTCTTATAATTGTATTATTAATATATGTAGGTTAATGAAATTTTATGTCTGCTTATTACTGAATATTTTTATAATAGCACTGCACATTTGGGTTCTTTAAAATTTTAAAAATTTTAATTTTTTTTCTATGCCTATAGAATTTATATATCATATACATTTTCATTATTATGTATTTATGCTTAATTATTTAATTTTGATTATAATTATATTCTAAAAAGAATCATGAATAATGGGAGGGTGCATTAATTAATTTTCATTAAAAACTTTAAACTTGTAATAATTCCAATATCTATAAACGACTATAAAATTTCTAGAATATACTTTTGTTTATTTTATTAATTTTACTTAATTTTATTTAATGTTATTTAATTTTATTTCATTGCATTTAATTTAATTTTTTTTATTTTATTTTATTTTAATATTGTTCTGAAGCTATTTTCTTGTGGCATTTTAAATTAATTACTATTTAACTGGGAATAAGCCACAATTAAAGATAAAAATACGTTTATTGATGTTTCAATTTCCACTTCGGAAATCGTTCTCAAAATACAAACAGTAAATTAAACAAATTTTGTTTTTTGTTACATAGTGAAAAATTCTTCTAATAATTTAATTTTATCTAACTCATTTATATTGACAATTCAGACACACATTATGCATTTTAAAGTAGACGACTTTAAAATGATATTGCCAATATTGTTGAGTTGCGCTCCTGGGACGACTTTATTTATAAGATAGTTCATTCGATTACATGAAATCAACTTTAACTTGAGAATATCCGTCAGAAAAAAATCATAACATGTAATTCGTCTTTAAAAAGACAAACACATGATATGATGACAGTAAAATTCTCCTTTTAGTGATTCTATAGTAAATTATGGGGGAAAAACCAGGAAAAAAAACCTCATAATACTATCCCGACATGGTAAGTATTTGTTCGTGCATTTAGTTTACCTTAAATAAACATTGAAATTGAAACGTCAATAAACGTATTTTTATCTTTAATTGTGGCTTATTCCCAGTTAAATAGTAATTATTTTATCTTATTTAGTTAATTTTATTTTTTTTATTTTAATTAATTTTATCTATTTTTATTAAGTTTATTTACTTTCATTTAATTTATTTTTTATATATTTTCATGTTTCTAATTTTTTTATTAAATTATTGTTAACCTTTTTAAATATTTTATAATTTTTTTAATTTTATAGTTTTATTTCATTTTCATTAATTTTATTTAGTTTTATTTAATTTTACTTTTTAAATAATTATTGCTAAGTATTTTAAATTATAAACATGGATTTTCATTCAAAATTAGAAGGCATAGTCTTGTCTGGACAAACGAGTGAGGTAATAGCAAATGTAATTATTTTTATGCAGAGAGAAGCGATGCAAAATTAAATGTTAAAGATTTTAAAAAAAGTTCAAGAGCATGCTTCCTTAGCAACGGGAGTAAGTATAGCCCAGAGGTGCTCAAACGGTCGATCGCGATTGACTGGTCGATCGCGAGTGCTTTTTGGGTAGATCTCGAGAAGAAAAAAAATTTTAATAAGTAGGTAGGTAACTAAACTACTGTCAGCAGAGTTAAACTTTTTATTAATACTGAACTATACAAATACATAGAATGCTTGACTAAGCATCATTGCAATTCAAAGAAGTGGAGACAACAAAATACTGTCCACACAGCATACTTTATATTTACATATATTAACTAATTATTTTATTATTCAATATTTATTATAATTATTAATCAAATTTGGGATGATATTCTATCAACTACAAAAATGTATTACGTAATAAAATAACACTGCTTGCGGCAAAAGGTGGCTTTATCAAAGGAACGCGCGGCACTTGTCAAAGAAAAGCCGTGTTGTTTCTAGACGAGAGACAGTACAGTCTAGTTTCGGGCGGCGCGTTTGACGGACACATTCGAGACTTTCGTTCACGCCGATATAAATGTTGCGCCTGCAGGAATTGGAGTTATTCTGAATTGTAACTTGATAGCGATACTACGTCGATACAAAGTTTATTATTAAATAGTGGAAAATTAGTGCAGTGAAAAAATCTAAAACGTATCATTTTAATAAGGATTGGGAGGAAGAATTTTTCTTTTCTATGGTGAAGGATAAGTGCATTTGTGTTATTTGTCGTGCGTCAGTTGCAGTACCTAAGCGTGGTAACTTAGAGAGGCATCATAAAACGGTTCATAAAAACTATGAAAATGATTTTCCGCCACAGAGTGAATTAAGAAAACGAAAAGTAAGTGATTTGATATCTTGTTTGAAAAAAGAACAATCCATGTTCACAAGACCAGCCAAACAATCAAAAGCTGCTACGATCGCGTTATTTAAAATATCTCATATTTTGGCGAAACACAAGAAACCATTTGAAGATGGATCGGTGGTGAAGGAAGCATTTATTGAAGCGGGTGAGACTTTATTTGGAGATTTTAAAAATAAAACAGAAATCGTGTCTGCTATTAGAGAACTTCAGTTATCTCGTCCGACTGTCACAAGGCGTATTGACGTCATGAGTCAAGACATCGCAGATAAAGTAAAACATGATATCATGGAATGTACATACTTTTCTTTACAGTTCGACGAATCCATCGATATGACAGACACTGCCCAGCTGTGTATTTTTATTCGGATGGTATTCAATGACATGTTGGCTAAGGAAGAATTTTTGACAATCATTCCTCTGAAGGGTGGAAGAAGATATATATATGACGTTTTCTTAAATATTGTAAAAAACTACGAGCTACCAATATATAAATTAATGTGCATTACAACCGATGGAGCACCAGCAATGACTGGAAACAAAAACGGTTTTGTGGCATTGTGTCGAGCTAATGAAGAATCCCCTTCATTTTTTTCATTCCATTGCATTATACATCAACAAGTTTTGTGTTCAAAAGTTTTAAACACGGAGGAAATTATGGGCATTGCAACAAAAATTGTGAATTCCATCCGTGCACGTAGCTTGCAACGGCGGCTCTTTCAGTTGCAGTTGGAAGATAGGGAGTCAGCTGAACACACTGATTTAGTTCTTCACACGGACGTCAGGTGGTTGAGTCGCGGAAAATTCCTAGAAAGGTTTCAAGAATTATTGCCCGAAATAACAGCTTTTCTAGACGAAAGAGGTGATGACACTCAGATTTTGAAAAACGAAAAATGGCTAAATGATTTGGCATTTTTGACTGACATCACAATGCACTTAAACACCTTTAACTTGGAGCTTCAAGGTAAAGGAAAAACTATTATTGAGATGATTAGCGCAGTAAACGCATTCAAAAGTATGTAAGTAAAGAATGTAAGTCCTTCTGGTGATTTCCAGGAGCCTTTGTGCATATCGTTTCGAGCGAAGTTAAAATTATACAATCGATTCCAAAAAAAAAAATACTATGGGAAAGAAGTCAATCCTGAAATCAGAACATCAAAAATATTTCAAATTTGTTCATTTCTCAAGCACCAAATTTTTTCATTTTGTTAGGCTTTATCATTCCTGTTCCATACCAAGCAAGTAAAAGCGTTTACTTTGTATTCCACTTCTTCCTTTGACAGAATTTTTAAATTTTTTATGGGCGCTTATAAAATGAATGTATTTGATTCATTGTGTAATAGCAATACTCTGCTGATTCAGCTGTTGATTCATATGTTGTTTCTTTGTTTTGCTGTGTAAACACATTTCAACATGTCAGGACATTGATTGCTTCCATTATTAAATAGACTTGTCGGTTATGTGACTTTCAAGGGAATTAAATTTTTCTCAGACATAAACTTCGAATCTCGATAATTGCATTTCGTTGTATTGTATTTGTAACAATATGATTCATGTCAATCATAACTCGATGTACGTCTTCCAAATAAACATGTTTTGGCATGTTTTTAGAAGACATTATATACATACAAACCAAACAAAAATCTGCGGTTGGTAGCATTCTTTCTATTGACAGACTAAATAATTGAATATCCTTCTGAAATAAAAAATACTAATTCGAGTATTTGACATCTTTAAGTGTATAGTCGACTTCCGCTCATCCGCTCAGACTACACATTATTAATGTGAATGAAAACTTATAAACAATCTTACGTATTATTGTTATTATTATGAGCAGAAATATAATATTCTATCGTTACAATATAAATTGTAATGATCGAATTTAAAATTCATGATGAGCACGTGATTTCGGTTACATTTGACCACTTACGGAGAGTGATTTCAGATTTATAATTTCATTTAATATTTGTCAGACTCGTAGTAAAAATATAGTTATAATTTTTAAAATTTTACGAACCCAGCAGGAAGAGGAGGGGATAAACTTAAACGAGTGGACACCTCCCGAAATGAAATCCTGACTACGTCACTGTATCTACTATACCCGACCAATTATTTAGTTTTTGTGATCTTGGATTATGGTTTTCACGCATCCAATGTGGATTTACCTCACTCTAATACCTTAATTCTGGCGATTTACATTCCCACACCATGTAAATATTTCTTCGTCGGAAAAACAAATCATGTTAACGAAGTTTTCGTCAGTTAAGTTACTATTTTATTCATAATTGCCTCACTAAACTGTAATCTACGGTCGTAGTATATTCACTTAGTTCTTGCAACAACTGGATTTTGTAGGGTTTAAATGAATTCTTATGTAATACACGCAAGACTGAAGATGACCTAGAGGATGTATGTGGATCTTCAACAAACTGCATTACACATAAAGTTTTATCATAATTTATAACAAATTTTACTCCTCTAGTTTCCTCAAAGCGATTTACAATATTGTTTGTACCGTCGAGTATAGTAAAATAGTTTGGGAAAGTATAATTGTTAGCTACTACACAATAAGATCTTTTTCTATGGCCGTAGACACGCATCATTAAAACAGTAATTCCCCCTTTTTCATTAAAAACCATCTTTATTAGGAGAGCTTTTAAAAACACGTAACTGTCGGCTTTAGTTATTAATACAATTTATTTTACAAAACTTTTCAATAAACGTCAAGCTATTGATAGTTGTCTTAATTCATGTCAAAATTAAAGCAACAATTATGCCTGGTTGCACCAACAGATCTTAAGCTCCAGCTTAGCCCAGCTCTGCTTATAGCTAGAACTCTCTTGAGCTCTTAACTCTCACTTACGTTGCACCATAATTTTCGATTCTAAAATATTCTTTATATTCTTAAAAATAAAAATACAAAATTTGGTTGATCGCCGTCGGACGGTTTGGTCGTGGTCGGTCGATCAGTCTGAGCTGAGGCCTACCTAAGGCACGTCTTAAGCTTAAGATATGTTTTTGGAACCAGGCATTAACAACTTTATCAGATGAACAACAAGGATTCAGATTCGGAAGATCCTGCGTAGACGCCGTATTTGTACTAAGACAAATTACAGAAAAGGCCATCGAGTACAATAAACCAGCATATCTATATTTTACAGACCTGACAAAGGTTTTAGATCGCATCCAAGTCGAAGACGTCTTACACCTATTGTATAAAAGAAACATACCAATCAATATTATGCATCGAAACCATCACCTCCAAAATCGAATATAGGCAAAGATAAATGGAAAACTAACACAGTGTATACCAGTACAAAGCGGAGTCCGACAGGGTGACTAGTTGAGCCCACTTCTCTTTATTACAATAATGGACGAAATAATACAAGCAGTACGTAAAGGTCATGGCTACAGAATGAGGAACAAAGAAATCCAAATATTATGTTATGCAGACGACGCCGCATTAATCGCCGAGACAGAAGACGAGCTCCAAAGATTAACACATCTTCAATATAACAGCTAAGAAATACAATATGATAATATCAGCACAAAAAAAAAACAAATGTATGACAACATCTAAATACCCACTACGGTGTAAAATCAAAATTGATGGGAAAATAATAAAACAGAAAGCAAGGTTTAGACATTTGGGAATATATATATAACTAGTTACGGAGATGTTGAAGAAGAAGTACTACAACAAAGCTTAAAAGCAAGTAAAGCGGCGGGTTCTCTTAATGAGACAATCTGGAAGAACAAACACCTAAGACAAGACACAAAAACAAGAATCTATAAAGCAGCAATTAGACCCATATTAAACGGTACGTAAACGGTTAGTAAACATACACGGCGGAGACAAGACCTGCCACATCTAAAACGAGACGACTGCTAGAAACAACAGAGATGAAAATACTCCGACGAATATCACGGAGAAGTCTGTTGGATAGAGAGAGAAGCGAAAACATAAGAAGAGCATGCAATATAGAAGACATAAATGGATGGGTGACAAAACGAAAACAGGAGTGGAACGAACATATCAGTAGAATGGCAGAGGATAGAATAGTACGAATAGCACGAGATAAGTCATCAAATTGACGAAAAAGTATTGGCAGACCAAGAAAAACATGGTGCGACAATTTAAACAATTTAGGAGGCTAATATTGAAGAAGAAACAGGCTTTAAAGCCTACATACTAGAAGGAAGAAGAAAGAAGAAGAAAATTAAAGCAATATGGATATTTACTGAATTACTTCAAAACTATTTGGCACTGATATTTAGAAAAAAAAATTGACTAATGATAGCAAAAAAATGGTAAACCTGGTAACATTGCAAACATCAAATTTTGTGCACTTCGGATCATCCATTTAAGAAATAAATATGCGTTTTCAGACTTTTAGTCCACTCTGTATGAAAAGGTAAAATAAAAGTACTCACCTATTTCCACATCCTTTGTTGGTATCGTATGGTTGAGGACCTCAAACCACGTGTCATCCTGTTGTAAAATTGTTAGCAATTCTTGAAAACTGATCTTATGGTCACAATTCACGGTCAACTTATCAGAGAGCTGTCGTATAACGCCATCGGCTAATTTGTGAAGACCAATAGCATCACAAACTAAAATAAGTTCAGTTTGGTTCAAATAACCATCCTCTCCAACACCCAATTTTTTCCAAGCTTCTCGAAGCATTTCTTCGGTACAGATCAGTTCCGTGTCATTGGATATTAAATGGGAATTTAAATTTTTGTCGTCAATTACTAAATCGTTATTAGCAGGTAGAGAAGTACACCTCTGTAGTCTGTAGTTGGTCTTTCGTTTCTTAGAAGAGACTTCGGTGTTAGAGTTGGAGCGTTGCACGGAAATATTTTGCGGCTTGTCGTCTTCATTGGCAAGTTTATGTATGTCTTCATTCCTTGGTCTAGATCGTCTACCGTACTTTTTAGAGCCATAGACGAACTTTGGAGAAACTTCTCGATCAGGTGAAGATTTCTCTTCGATATTATCATCATTCCCGGACGATTTATTGTTTTGTATGTTGCCGAGAAGAGCTAGCAACGCATCTTTGAAGTCTGTAAAATTTACTCGAGTACGTTTATCCTTCAACAGGCATTTGACGAGATCAAGACCGTGTTCATCTAGCTGCAGAGTCTGGCAAAGTTGTGTGAGACCCTCTCTGTCCAAGCTGCCACAATTGTCTCTGTCGTGACTATTAAATACTTTTAAAAGCTGCTGCTCGTATGGGTCCAGGCCATACTCATCCATCATGATTCAACTGAAAAAAAAAGTTCTGTTGATAAAATGATAAATACCTTCTTGGTAAGATATATACCGTATTTCACGAATTTGCTACTATTTTGAATTATCACTAAGACACTCGACAGTCAATGGTCACTCTACTGTACAGCATAAGTACGAAAGTAAATTGCTCTAGTAATGAAAATATGAAACAAGTAATTTCTAAATTGAATTTAAAAAATCCTTTTATATTCTTTTGTGCGGTATTAATAGAAGTGATTTGCAGTAAATCCTTTTGATATACTTGCGTATAGGAGAGATAAGTCAATCATCACAATCTTAAGTAAGTTTTTTATTGTTGTAGAATTTTTAGACTACCGGTTTCAATTACTATTAAACTGGGATAAAAATAAGTTTATTGACGTTTCAATTTCCACTTCGGAAATCGTTTTCAAAATACAAACAGTACTGTTTGTATTTTGAAAACGATTTCCGAAGTGGAAATTGAAACGTCAATAAACGTATTTTTATCTTTAACTGTGGCTTATTCCCAGTTTAATAGTAATTAATTTACAATGCCACAAGAAAATAGCTTCAGAACAATATTAAGATACCGGTTTCAAGGCTTACAATGTATGCCCCATGATCAGAGCACAGTACATAGGTCTTTGTTTTAACAAAAACTAAAAACAACATGAACCAAAAAATGAACACCTAATACAAAACACACCAAGTTGAGAACCAAAATGAGAACTGTAAAAATTAATTTAGTGAGAAAATACATAATGCACATACCCTATTATATCAATATAACCAACTAAAGACTGACTATTGTGTAGAGTTTCCATCAGACCAGTTACAACCAATGCAAATAATGTTTCAATATATTGTATATTACGTCAATTTCCTTACTAAATTAATTTTTACAGTTCTCATTTAATTAACAGTACATTATATAGTACCAACTCTCTTACTTAATTAAGTTTACAGCTGTTTGCTTGATTAATTCAATTTTGATTTTAACTCGTGTTTTGTATTAGGTGTTAATTTTTGGTTCATGTTGTTTTTTTTTATTGAGTTAATGCCTCGACAACTATGATCATTGGCATGGGCTGTTCATGTTGTTTGTAGCTTTTAGTTTTTGTTAAAACAAAGATCTTTATATTTGTGCACTGTTTGAAAGAAAAACTGCTTCCAAAATATTTCATTTACTCGGTTTTATTTCAAGTCGGAATTACTAAAGTTCGCCAAAAGGAATGAAAAACCAAAAATATAGTAGACTAGACTAGACTAGATTATACATATTTTTGAACATAATGTGGGATACCTTAATGGTCGGTCCGAAGTTGCAGAATGACTTATTCGTCATTCTTCTTCGTTATCGTCAACATATTCGTATTAGCAGCCGACGCAGAGAAAATGTATCGAAAAATTCTCGGACATCCCGATGACGCTATTTATCTAAAAATTTTGTTTCGTAAAAATCCACAAGAACCAATAAAAATGATCATTCTTAATACCGTCACGTACGTAGCGCTTCGGCATCTTACTTAACAACTCGAACTTAGCTCAAGATGAAGATCCTACGTATTCTCTCGCATCTATCGCATTAAACAGAGACTTTTACGTCGATGATCTTCTAACTGGTACAAAGACTCACCAGAAGTTTCAGCTTTGCGGGGAAATTTTATCGCATTATTAAAAAAGCGCATTATCGCATTATCAACTACATCGTTATTTAGAGCTGCTGTCAATAAAGTCACGATAGCGAATATGGTAGCCAACATGATATCCAACGATCGATAACGGTCATGGAACTAGAAGAAGAAGAAAAAAGCGCAGTTTTCTTCTTCGAAAATGGCGTCAAATTAAAGCTCTTTAATAGCTGATCAAAATAAGCACGTTTAGAGTACTCACATGTCTCTTGACCCTGATATTACAGTCAAGGCATTAGAAATTCAATGGAATTCTCGTGAGGATACGCTTTTTTATAGTTTCGGCATTTCACCTATCGAAACTGAAAGAAAGCATTTTATTTTGTCGCAAATCACAAAATTATTTAATCCGCTGTGATTTTTGGGTCCAGTTATCGTATAAGCAAAAATTTTAAATTTTGAAAATTTTAAAAATCTCGGGTAGCGCCCATCAGCTCAATATCATTACCGCGATTAGAGTTATGCGGCGCTGTATTTCTCGCTCGGCTATATTCCACGCTTCAGCAGTCTCTTTTACTGGAAGTCAGCAGTACTTATTTTTGGTCAAACTCGACAATCACTATTCACTGGATAAATACCCAGTCGTATCTTTTTCGCAAACTTGTCGCCAAGAGGGATGCTTAAAGACAAAGATTGACTAGTCGGCCTCATTGGCGGTATATTTTGTCTGGATAATCCGGCAGATTGTTTATCGCGCGGTCAGCTTACCTCAGAATTTTTAGAAAATAACATTTGGCAAATTGGTCGGTCTTGCTTATCGCGAACTCAATCTTCAAGGCCGAAAGAAAATTTTAATTCGATCGAAATTCTCGAATTTAAATTGGTAAGGCCTTAATCGATAATGTATGCAGGTTTTATTAAATAATAATATTGAAGAAAAATACAGCCCAATGCATAAATTAATTCGCGTGATTGCCTATGTTTGTCGATTTATTTTCAACCCTAAAGTGAAGGGAGAAGACAAGCACAATTTAAACGAACTAAATGATTCACAATATTTAATAATTAAAATAATCGATTCGCAATTATTTATACTACGAAAGGGCTACGATAGGGATGTTGTTTATCACCTACGCTGTTTAAAATATATCTGGATCGATCTCTACAAAAGTGGCAAAGACAATGCAGAAATATGGGAATACTAATAGATGAGGATATTCTCTATACACTATTCTTCGCTGATGACCAACTGGTGGTAGCAGAAGATATAGACGATCTCAGCTATAAGGTTAGGAAACTACAAACAACGTACGAAGAATGTGGACTGACAATGAACTTACAAAAATGCGAATATCTCTCAGTGGGGAAAAATACAGTCGAAGACCTGACATTGGAGTGACAAAATCAAAGGAACAAATAGAGTAAAATACCTAGGAGTAGTGTTTACAAAAGACGGAAATAGCCATGAAGAAATAAATACAAGAATAAACAAAGGCAGAAACATTACCAAATGCCTAAACTCCATTCTCTGGGATAAAAATATCACAAGAACGACGAAAAAACGAATATATAAGACGATGGTTGAGCCGGTGGTAACATACGGAGCAGAGATATGGGACACTAGTAAAAGAAACATAAAAAATTACAAGCTACCGAGATGGATTTTATGAGAAGAAGCTGTAGATTGACAAGGATGGACAGAATCAGCAATGAAGAAATAAAACGTAGAATGGAGCAAGAAAAAGACATTATAGATGAAGTCCAGAAAAAACAACTAACTTGGTTCGGTCATGTAAACAGAATGGCAGACGAGAGGTAGCCACAGAAAATATTAAAATGGATCCCAACCGAAAGAAGGAAAAGAGGGCGTCCAAGAAGAAGCTGGCGAGATGACGTGAATGAAGCCATAGAAGGAAGACAGGTAAATGAAGCCGACATTCGAGATAGGAAACGATGGAAACTAGGGACAGGAAAACAACGACACTTGTAAACAACCTGTACTATACACATTTGGAATTTTTAATCCGGAGCATAGGATTTTTAATACAAATACTAAGATTCTCTGCGTTGCAATTAACCAGTGTAAATTTCTTTATAAGGTCGCGATGTTTTATAACTAATTTATTTGTTCCACTGGATTACTTCTCCTCAGCGGTTTGTAGTCGGCGTGCCAGTGTATGGCACGCCGACAGTGTTGCTCCGTCTACCGATTTTTCCTGAAAGTCCGATTTTGTGCAGATAACAAATAATGTTTTATTAACATCAATTTTGTTTGTGTTCATTAGGTATTATTTGAGTTATAAAATTTATACTTAAATACATTTATTATTCCAAATATTGTTTATAATTTCAAATTAAAAAGAGTGTAATATAATTATTTTATTTTTAAAATTCCTTTTTATTTTTAATTTTAAAAATCAACTTTTTTTTCAAGCCGTTTTGGCAATAAAACATAACCATTTTTTTAATTATAAAATATTTTCATATCTACATTTATAAATAAGTACGTTTTCGTTGAATTGACATGCGATCTAGGTGTGATCCGTTTTTACACTTACACTGGCAGCATCGCGGCGTGAATTGAGACTCCAGTCGAACAAATGAATTAATTATAAAACATCGCGACGTTGTATTGAAATTTACACTGGTTAATTGCACATTAAAGGATTTGAGCTGTATTAAAAATCCTATGTTCCGTAATTTTTTTTTTTCCAAATCTGTATACTATATATATATAATCGATTCGCAATATTTAATAATTAAAATGACGTGAAGAACACGTACAATTAAAAAATGCTGGTCCACAAGCAACCTTGTACTCCGTGCGCCAAATCTATTGGTCGTTAGATAGACGTAAAGTAACTCGAAAAATTTTGCATCGAGCGTTCCTTGTTTTCGCGTAAAACCACGCCAGGCTAATCATAAAATGGGTATCCTTCCTGAGTACCGAGTAACTCCTCGACCTTTTCGTAAAACCGAAATTGATTATTGCAGTCCTTTGTTTATTAAGGAAAAGAGGTTCTGCAATCATAGACGATTAAAAGTATACGTCGCCGTGTATATATGCATGTCTATCCGGGCCGTTCATTTGGAATTAGTAAGCGACTTGACTACCGAAGCCTTTTCAGGTAACTACCACCGTTTTTGGGCTAGAAAATGTGTAGAAATATATTCTGATACCGCTACTAATTTCGTGGGAGCAATCGCAAGCTGCACGAATTATTTAACTTGTCAGATTATCAAAATGCCATTAAAAAATACTCAGATGATACAAGGTCCATTTGGAATTTAATACTGCCCAAATCTCTCATCTTAGCCGCGGTTAAGTCTTAAAAATCATGTAATTTTCACTGTAGGGGACATTTTTTGATTGGTGGTCCGA